TTTGATAGTACATCTTTCATGAATTTCTGGTACAATGGCATCTTCTTGAGTGCTTCAAAGAACGGTATGTTGATCTCCATCTTTTTAAACAATTTGACAAATTTATCAAACTCTTTCTCTTTTGTGTCCTTCTTTTCCACTCGAGATGGATATGACAACTTGATTGCTAGTTTGGTTTTCTCTTCAACTGGCTTCACAGGTGATACCACTTCTTCCTGTTTTTCTTTTTCTCTCTCACTCCCAGATCTACTTCTATGATATTATCATCAAATTTTACCTCATATTTCCTTTCTTCAGTAGCTTTCTCATTCCTTGTTGTGACAGCATTAACATTCTCATGATTTTCTTATGCTCGCAACACTACCTGTTCTGCAATCTGTCCCATTTGAACTTCTAAATTTTTTATTGCAGTTGTGGTATTCCTATGATTACTCCTTGTCTCTTCTTGAAATGGAGAGGTGTGGGCAGCCATCTTTTCAATAGTCACCTCCCACTCTGCCTTCTGATGAGCTTGTTGTTGTTGATCTTTCCAAGAGAAGTGAGGATAATTCTTTTCCACTCGAGATGGATACGGAAACTTGATTACTGGTTTAGTTTTCTCTTCAACTGGCTTCATAGGTGATACCAATTCTTCCTATTTTTTTCTTGTTCTCTCTCACTTCCAGATCTACTTCTATGAGACTATCATAAAATTTTACCTCATCTTTCCTTTCTTCAGTAGCTTTCTCATTCCTTGTTGTGACAGCATTAACATTCTCATGATTTTTTTAATTTTCTTGTGCTCGCAGCGCTACCTGTCGTGCAATCTGTCCCATTTGAACTTCCAAATTTTTTACTGCAGTTGTGGTATTTCTATGATTACTCCTTGTCTCTTCTTGAAATTTAGAGGTGTGGGCATCCATCTTTTCAATAGTCACCTCCCACTATGTCTTCTGAGGAGCTTGTTGTTGTTGATCTTTCCAAGAGAAGTGAAGATGATTCTTCCATCCAGGATTATAGGTGTTTGAATATGGGTTATTTTGCCTCATGAATTTTATCCCCTCAATTTATTGTGGAGTTACAAGACATTGTACAGTAATGTATGGTCCACTACAAATTTTACAAACAACCTTTTGTTCCTTTTGAACTTGAGCTACTTATTGAGTAACCATGTTCATTACTTTCAGCTTTTTTTCTACTTCTGCAGCAATTGTTTCTTCAATTTTCAATTGTCTATTAATTTCTAACTTCAAATCAATCACCCCCCTCTGGTTTACTCACAACTCTGTCATATAGCTCCAGATGCTCATTTGCAGCAATGGCTTCAATAATCTTCTTCACACCAGTGGTTGTTGTAAAGTTGGATGAGCCACCGGCTGCTATATCAATAAGCTGCTTTGTCTTTATTTGAAGGCCATTTACAAACATTTGCATTTTCTCTATTTGACCCATGTTGTGAGTGGGACAGGCTACTAATAACATCTTGAACCTCTTATAAGCATCACCTAGCGACTCTCCTTCCTTCTGCTTAAAATTTACAATATCATATATTTTACGAATATAAACAGACGCAAGAAAGTACTCATCAAGAAAAGTATTCTCCATATGTTCCCAAGTGGTGATACTTCAAACAGGCAATGAGTAAAACCACTGTTCAGCATCTTCAGACAGCGTGAACGGTAACATCCTTAATTTCTTGGTTTCTTCAGAGTGTCCCTCAATCTTCAAAGTAGTACTCATGGTAAGGAATCTCTGCAAATGCTTATTGGCATCTTCATTGATCTTCCCGGTGAAATATTTATTCTTGAGTTGGCGGATGGTTGAAAATTTGAAACATTGACCAGTTGATTCATAATAGTAACCAGACCTGCTGGAGCATTTTCTCCTCCGTAATCCCCAAGAAGTCTCTCTGGTGGTGGTGGGTTTTCACCCATAGTTTCGGGTTTTGATTCTAAACCCGGGTCTATATATCAAAAGGAAATTCAGCTGAGAGTTTTCTTCGCATGCAAAGGTTAAGAAAAATCAGTAATAATAAAAATATATAAATTAAATAAAAAAATAAATTTTATTTGTAGAGCAACAAAATTCTAATTGAACTACAATTAAACACTATAAGTTGGCAGTCCCCGACAACGGTGCCAAAAACTTGATGGGGAAAATAAAAAGTGTACTATTTTTGCCTTGTAGTAATAATGGGAAATTCTCTGAATGTCGATCTCAAGGATTATATGCAATTATCGAGTTCAACTCACTTTCAATTAAATAAAAACTTTAATTGGGGTTTTGATTTAGGAATTGTCACTTCGCAGAAATAAAAATAAGCAGAATGTAAATTAGGGCTTTTCACAGATATGAGGAGTATGCTAGGGTAAGGTGTATAATTTTCCCTGTAACTTTCCTGAATCCTGATCTCTTCAACAAGTTCATATCCTTCAATTACCTGCCCTTTAGGTTTCTTCCCCTAAGTCCTTAGTGGGAAAATCTTTGAACCTTCATCCTAAATCCTAAGTCCTTAGAGATTTCTGATGGAGTCAAGCCTTTATTTTATCAGGGTTAAACCTGGGAACTATAGGTATCCCTAGTCCTAGGTGATATCTACTATAGCCTAATCGTACAAAAACCCTAACAACCACGGTCCAGCTAAATGTTAACCATAGATCAATCCTAATTTGTTCGATCAAGAAAGCATTATAAACATTGTACAATTAAATTGAATAGAAAAGCCTATTATATTAAAGAAATTCAGAAATCAAAATCATTTACATAGTCAAATCAAGGACATCCCCCTAGCATTGGGGGGTTTAGCTACTCATATTGTTAAAATTAATTTCAAAATAAAAATTAAACATTACACATAGATGGTGAACTTTGACCTTCAATTGCTTCTACTCATGAAAGGTCTTTGTTGTCCAACTCTAGTGTAGTCTTCAATCTTCAGTCCTCAATTCTTCTTGTGGCTAAAAAGTCCCCGTCTCCTTCTCACAAACAGATTTTAATAGTATTAGGTCATCCTTCATCAATGCAAAAATGTCCAAAGTATACTTAATGATCCAAGACACTTAAAACTCCAAAAATCAGAATTCCTAGCACCTTAGCCAACATGGGCCGTGTCATGTGACACGGGTACCTGTGTCAGCCTATGTTTCTCACTTCTAATCACGCTCTCGCCCAGACCTTTTGGCACAAGCCATGTCATCTGACACGGGCACCCGTGTCAGCCTCTGCCTCCTCTCCCAAAGTTGTGCATCCTCTATTGACACGGCCCGTGTTAGGCACCCTGTAGTTTAGTTTCTGAGACTTCCTCCAACACTCCGAATTTGCACTTTTCACACTGATTTTTCTGGTTTTATTCCCCTGAACCTGAAAACAATAAAATACACAACTAACGTATAAAATATAGAAAAATGAAATAAAAAACTTGACAAGATAAAGAAACTATAACTAAATTCAATTGCAAATAAATATGGTAAAACCACTAATCACTTTGATTTGAGGGTCTTCTATGTTTCGATGAATTTCCTTCTAGGATGTTACCTCTATCATTTGAATTGTTGTAACCTCATCTACCTCTATTTTTGTTCCATATTCCTTTGTTTTTCTTTTATTTTTCCAAGTTTGCATGCAGGGCTACATCACCTTTTGAATTGCTTGCAGATATTTCAATCATTCTTTGTTCATGATATTCAAGTGTCCGTTGAAGCTCTACTTTTGTCATGCTTGACATGTTCTTTGATTCTTCTATGGCTACAACCACATGATAAAACTTTGGAACCAATGACCTCAAGATCTTTGCAACTATCGGTCTTGATGTCAGTGCTTCTCCACACATTTTGATTTGGTTCACAAGTCTTGCAACCCTAGTGAAGAAAACCAGCCACAGTTTCACTTTCTTCCATATGAAGCAACTCATATGTTCTTCTGGGAGTTTGTAACTTCACCTCTTTCACCTTCTCAACACCTCCAAAAGATTTCTCCATGATGTCTCGTGCTCCTTTTGATAAGTCTACTCACCAACTTTCTCAAAAATTTCTAGATCAACACATTGATAGATTATAAAGAGAGTTTTATAATATTTCTTCTTCAAATCTTTATGTGCATCCTTTTGTTAATCTATTGCATTTTCCCTAATTAGTGTCACTCTATACTTCCCAAGATTCCTAACATCTTAATAGCATAAGTTGTATTTAAATCACTTTTGAATACATGCGTATTCCACTATTACAAACTATATTCTACTCCTACACTATCGAATACAAATGACTTCGACTTTGTTGAATTCTGTATTTACAAACATGTTTAGCACAATCGAATTACATATTTATCATGTAATTTTCTTTTTTTTTAAACATCACGTAAGAAACTATTTCATTTTAATTAAATTTAAAATAATTTGGTTCATGAGCTCGAACAGACTTGTGGATAAAAAATAATAATTAAAAATGCTCAATGAAGTTTCAGAAGTAATTGGGAAATCCAATACATACTTGGCACCTGTAACAAAAATAACTTATAATAGAATTCAATGCCTTAGCTGTCATAAATATTTCTTCAAACAAACGCAGTAGACATACAATAATGTCTCTATTGTTTTTCTCTATGAACTACAAGAAATAAACTAACATAGCTACAAAATGATACAAATATAAAACATGTGGAAAGTTGATTTTTCTTTTTTTTCCTTTTACTTTTTGCTTTTAGATAGGATATAATAACGCATAAACTTTGTTGCCGGAGTTATAAATAATCCAAAAAAAGAAAGTTTAGGAAACAAATGTGTCACATATGAACAAAAAATGGACGGAGAAAGAAATGACTAAGAAAAATATAAAATAGAAGAAAAGAATATAATTCAATAGAATAAAAGTGGTTTTCTCTAGCACAAGTAAAGTACATTTTATATCTTTTCCTTAAGTTTAAAGGCAAAGAATTTGTATAAATATGGTGAAGATGAAACACTATTATATAGTTTTGTTAGAAATATTAATGGTGCTAATGTAGTGTTGTGCATATATAGCACCAAAATGGAAACAAATTTGGGGTTAGTTGCAGGCTCTCACAACAACAATGAATTCATTATTATACGTCAAGATGGAGATTTTGGTGTAAGTAATAACATCTCTTTATTTATCATAATCACCTCTTGCATATATATACATACTCCCTCCGGTCTCATTTATAAGAAAAAATTAACTTTTTATATACATTGAATAAGTAATGTATTTGGACAATATATTGTCCAAATACATTACTTATTTAATGTATCTAAAAAGTTAATTTTTTCTTATAAATGAGACCGGAGAGAGTATATTGATAAAATGCAAAATTCATAGGTAATTAGAAGAAAACAATTAGATTAACTTTCCATCACATATATTGCAACACCAATTGTATTCGTCGCAGTGTGAGTAATGGTTTCGATATCAGCAGTTGCCAATACTGTTTTGCTACGGCCGTTTTACGTCTGCATATTGTTTTTCAAAACTTTGCTAATACTTTAAGCAAAGAAATCATATACAAATTTTATGTAAATTTCCATCACTAATACAAGTTTTGGTAATAGTAGTACTATACTTACTACAATATTTATGTACTAATTAAATTTTATTCCTATTTAATTGTTGTTTTTAAAGTCTAATACAATTTTAATTATTGTTGTGATTTACATAATTGTAGAGGAGAGAGTTGCAAGAATACAATGGTGAAACATGCCAATTATGTGGAGAAGATATTGATGTTAATGAAGATGGTGACACTTTTGTGGCTTGCAATGAATGTGCTTTTCCTGTTTGTAGAAGTTGTTATGAATATGAACGTAGGGAGGGACACCAAGTTTGTCCTCAATGCAAAACCAGATTTAAGCGTCTCAAAGGTTACTTAGCTAAATTAAATATGTTTTTTTTTATAATTCTTAAAATACATTAATTTTTAATATGAACTCCCATAAATTGTTATGAATATAAGTATATAACTTTGTGAGGCATGTGTTTTTAAGGGTTTGCTAGAGTTGAAGGGGATGAAGAAGAAGATGACATTGATGATTTGGAGAATGAGTTTGATTTTCATAGACAAAATGAAGAACAAGATATTCAAATCCCCATGTCTCCTCAAGTAATGCTTCTAAATCTTAGCTTGTTCTAGTTTTTGTTCTAACTTGGGTGGCAAAAACCTGTCCGGTTTAAGGTTTTTTTTTGCAAAAGTTGGCAAAAAAATAAGATGAACATACTAGAAAGAACGGAACTAAAACTTTTATGCAAACAAATTAAGGTGGATTTGAGAGACCCCTAAAGTCTCACATGACATAAAGTCTCACATGACATAGTGTGCACTGCTTAAAATTTTGACTAGTTTCATAAACAAATTTTGACATAACAGATCTGATAAATAGGTTCGATCCATTTTGTTACCCTTAGTTTTAACATTTATATTTTAAAATGGTTAACATTCGCGTGTCCATTAATGAAATATAAGAGTGTGTTCTCTCAATGTCTCAAATTCAAATATCTCTTATATCAATAATTTTGAGGTTTAAATACACTTTTGTCACTCTAATTTGATGATTTTTAACTTTTAATTTCTTTATTTTAAAAATAAGTTTTTTAATCCTTAAATTTTACATCATTTGAGATTTAGTTAATCCCCTTCAATTTTAAAAAAGTGACAGTGATGATTAGGATAAAAATTATTTTTAATAAATTTTCAATACTAATTAGGATAATTAATTTATTATTATTTTAATTAATAGATGAATAATTTTAATTTAAGTTTTTTTTAAAATTACTTAAAAATTAATTAATACAATTTTTAAAATAAATCTTGTTGAGCCTAAGCCCAAGTCTTTGAAACAACCCAGCAACCCACAAGTTGACATTAAAATAAGCTAGTGTATGTTGTATATATAAACACTAAAACTAAATGTAAGTCAATCGGTGTAGGACTTATGGAAAAAAAAAAAAAATCCTACACTACAACCCATCATCAATACATAGTATGAGTGTTTGCGGTGCGGTTTGAGCGGTTTTAAAACAAAAAATTACTCGAATTACAAGAAAGAAAAATATGTGATTCAGTTTGATTTGATTAGCTTTTAAAAATAAATCTGAACTAAATCAAACCAAACTAATGCGGTTTAAATTGATTCGGTTAGTTCGGTTTTTTACAAAACAGATTATTAAGTCATACATATAAATATAGAGGAAAATATAATTTTCTGTTTAACTGTTCATACATTACCATAAAAAAAATTATAATTGTCAAAATAAATTTATAATTTGATACATAAAATTGCGTATTATAATTTTATCTAAATCTAAAGAATGATATAAACGAATGATATAAACAAGATTGCATTCTTAAATAAATATTATACAAAGAATACGATAAAATATATTTTGTGAAAATAGTATTTATAATGAATAATATTTTATTTTTTATGATTTGTAAATTAAAATGAATATAATACAAAGTATGATAAAATATACACGTAATACATGTTGATTTCTCTAAAGAATTAAAGAAATGTATATTGGTTAGTAAGATTTTATAACATAATACGGTTTAGTTTAGTTTGGTTCGGTTTGTAAAATACAAACTGCAAACTGAATCGAAATGTGCGATTTCGCGAGAAAATGACTCAAACACGTCCGAATTAAATACGTTGTTTTGCAATTTCAATTTGATTTAGTTCGATTTTGCAATTTTCTATTGAACCGATTTAATTTTGAACACCCTTACATACAAGAAACCTATCAAACGCTTTTGTTCACACTTTAATATTTAAGTCTAATTTTTATGTTGGATGAAAGGAAGTGACATTAGTTTCTAAACAATTTAACTATTTAAGTTAGAATGATAATGTATCTTAGTTGGGTCTTTATTTCATATTATTTAGATGGGTGTTTTGGATATTAGGTCTTATTATCCAATATATATATATATATATATATATATATATATATATATATATATATATATATATATATATATATATATATATATATATATATATATATATATATATATATATATATATATATATATATATATATATATATATATATATATATATATATATATATATATATATATATATATATATATATATATATATATATATATATATATATATATATATATATATATATATATATATATATATATATATATATATATATATATATATATATATATATATATATATATTGAGAGATGGAAAATTGATCGAATGAATGAAAAAGTTCTTTTATTTATTATCTTAGTTTTATTTTCTCCTTTAATTTTTAGCTTCCTCTAATTTTATTAGAGTTTGAAATTAGCATCCTAACATTAAATCTCTTATTATAAATTGCTTATATACTCTATGCATGCTTTGCATGCATGCACTTATTGTAACAGGGTGACGAACTTTATGAAGAGAACAATAATGCTATAGTTCCTTTAAGTTCAACAAAACTGAAAAAAGAGATAAATTTATTGCAAGCAAGACCAATGGATCCTTCCAAGGACCTAGCTGCTTATGGCTATGGAAGTATTGCTTGGAAGGAGAGGATGGAGAAATGGAAGCAAAGACAAAGCAAAATTGGTAATATGAGAAAAGAAAATAATGATCATGAAGAATCAGATAAGGTTGTGGATAATGACAATGAATTTCCTTTGTAAGCATCTCTCTCTAAAACTTAGCATTAAAATATAGATTATACATGCTCATATATAGGAGTAGGTATAATCATTCAATTTTAGTTTTTAGTTTTTTTTTTCTAATATCTATACCAAAGGAAAAAAAAATCCTAAGGATGGCTATTTAAAAAATTAATTTTTCAAAAAAGAAATTGCAAATCAATTCATAAAACCTAAAATACCGTAACAAATTGAATAGTTTTGAATCTGATTGAATTCACTTTTATAAAAATAGTGATGATTGAATTGAATTTTAGGTTAATTTTTTTAAATTGTTTCAAATTGAACCGAACATGATCAATTTATTTTAATATTTATTTATTTTTATTAGTATGATATATTAAGTTAATTTATTACTCGTTTATATTTAATTTATTTTAATATATTTATTAATTTAGTTTATATATTTATTTTTTGTTTTAAATTTAATCAATCATTATCGTTTTAATTATTTTAATTTTAATTATATTATTTATTTTTTTAATTTTTAATTTTTTAGTATTTTATAGTATTTTATAATATTAATATAAAATTAAAAATATTTTAAAAATTAATTTAAATTAAACTGCACGAAATTAGATCGAACGAAAATTTTTAGACTACCAGTAATTTTATCTTTAAATTGAATGAGTTTTTTTCTCAACAAAACTATATGACAAACACTCCATAAAAAATGTATATTAACTTTCGTTTTGTATTTTTTTTATTAAAAAACAATTTTATTCAATTTATAGAAACATAGATACATGCATATACATATATAGACAATATTGTTTTCTTGTAATTGATATCTTTTTCCATTTTCTTGTGACAAATAACAGAATGGATGAATCAAGACAACCATTATCAAGAAAATTATCAATTCCATCAAGTCAAATAAATCCTTATCGTATGATCATAATATTAAGATTAATTGTTCTTGGATTTTTCTTTCACTATAGAATCATGCATCCAGTGGAGAATGCTTATGCTTTGTGGCTTGTGTCAGTAATATGTGAAATTTGGTTCACTCTTTCATGGATTCTTGATCAATTCTCAAAGTGGTTTCCTGTCATCAGAGTAACTTATCTAGACAGACTTTCATTAAGGCAAGTAATCCACAAATAAGTTTGATTAGTTGTAGGTTTAAAGTTTGATTTACTTAGGCTTAAATACGTTTTTAATTTTCATAAAATTACTAAATGACTATTTTTATTCTTTACAAAATTATCTTATAAATAATTTTAGTCTTTAATTATCTTACAAAATTACTAAATTATTTTTAAATGAAATTTTTTTGTTAATATTTAAAGTGAGATAAAAATTTCGTCTACAAAAATTAAAAATTTTTAAAAAAATATATTTAATATGAATTTTTTGAAAAATCAAAATATCAAGATAAAAAATTTAGAAATCAAATTTTAACCTTTTTTTTTACCAATTTTTAATAATATTCATAATATACTTGCAAAAATAATCATTAAAATTGTATCTTTTTGAAAGACATTATTTAAAAATGTGTTGGCTTAATAATATGGATTAGAACAATTTAAAATAATTTTATTGACATTTAAAAAAAGCTTGAAATTTTAATGGGAAAAATAACAAATTTTATTAATTTTATTGACACGAAAAAAACATATTTAATCTATTATATTATAATATGTCAAATATTTCCGCAATTAGAAAACCAAACCAAATTAAATTGGCCTATAATTTTTGTGTTTGCAATACTTAAAAGACAAAATTTGGAAAAGAAAAAAATATTAATTGTCATAATATACATTTTTTTTACACAATGTCAGAATATTACAACTATCCATAAGCCTGATTTTGTAAAAAATAAAAATAAAAAAATGGTTATAGTGTATAAAAATTAAATTTAATTAAAAACATTCATTTTGCTAGTCTCTGATTTTTTGTCAATATTTCAACATTTTTTAGTAGTACTATATTTTCTTTTCATATATATGTTTATTATCAACAATTTTTTCCTATTCAAATAGGTATGAAAAGGAAGGTGAACCGTCACAACTTAGTCCAATTGATATATTTGTGACAACAATTGATCCATTAAAAGAGTGTCCTCTAGTGACAGCAAACACAGTTCTATCAATTCTAGCTATAGATTATCCTGCTCAAAAGGTGTCATGTTATGTTTCTGATGATGATGCATCAATGTTAACATTTGAAGCATTATCTGAAACTTGTGAATTTGCAAGGAAATGGGTTCCTTTTTGCAAGAAATTCAACATTGAACCTAGGGCTCCAGAATGGTATTTTGCTGAGAAAATCAATTATCTAAAAGATAAAGTGCATTCATCATTTGTGAAAGATCGAAGAGCAATGAAGGTAATTAAAATCGGACAATCCTTTAAATTTAAATATTTTTAAAAAAAAACATTAAATTTAGATGGTATGAACTTGTTAATACATTAAATTTAAACGGTTAAAACTTGATCTAACACTTACTGATGTGCTGGATACGTGAATGCAACAAACAAAAACAATATAGAATTTGACTTCTTTTAGTATCCAATTTGTTATCATAATTTGAATATCAAAATATCATTACATCTTCGAAATACTATACGGTAAAAAATTATTCATGATCATGCAGAGAGAATATGAAGAATTTAGAGTTAGAATAAATTGTTTAGTTGCAAAGGCTAAGAAGGTTCCAGAAGAAGGATGGACAATGCAAGATGGAACACCATGGCCAGGAAATAATGTTCATGATCATCCAGGAATGATACAAGTGAGTAATTAATTTTTTTTTAAAATCATATCATACATAATATATATAATTTAATCTATACTAAATCTAACCATTTTCATACAAACTTTTGATTGTAAACTTCAATTTTTTTTCCAGGTTTTCTTAGGTGAAAACGGTGGATGTGACATCGATGAAAACGAATTACCACTTTTGGTATATGTTTCTAGAGAAAAGAAACCTAAATTCAATCATCAAAGAAAAGCAGGCGCACTAAATACACTGGTATATAAGAGAGTCGTATATTTATAAATAGAGATATTATATTAATCAAATGTTTTTTTTAATGTATTTTGTTGTTGACAAGTCCATAACAGGCTAGAGTATCTGCTGTGTTTTCCAATGCACCATTTGTGTTGAACTTAGACTATAATCATTACATCAATAATAGCAAAGCTATAAGAGAAGCAATGTGTTTCATGATGGAACCATTACTAGGAAAAAGTGTATGTTTTGTTCAATTCTCCCAAAGGTTTGATGCTATGGAGACTAATGACCAATTTGCCAATCAAACAAACACATTTGTTGATGTATGTAAACTCTTCTCACACTCTCATAAAACTTTTGAATTGAAATCATAATAAGCTAACTCTATAATCTTGTAGATAAACATGAAGGGTTTGGATGGAATTCAAGGACCTACATATGTTGGGACAGGATGTGTGTTTAGAAGACAAGCACTTTATGGTTTTGATGCTCCAAGGAAAAAGAAGTCACCAAATAAGACATGTAATTGTTGGTTAAAGTGTTGTTGTTTTGGATTATGTTGCATGGAAAAGAGAAAGAAGAAGAAGATGAAGAAGAAATCCAACTATGAAATTATGGAAAGTAGTCATAGAAAAGCAAATTCTGAATCATCTATTGCTGAGAGTACTATAGGTAAATTTTAAGCATATAGTATTTGCTACATATTGTATTCAACTCTTGATGGTAAAATGGATCTGACCTGTCGAGCATATCTTTTTATTTGTATTTTTTCGCGGGCCGAGTCTAGCTTTGAAGTTTGCATCCTCTAAGCTTGCCCCTGCACTGTTTTTTCTTTTTTGCGAGTACGGACATTAACGGGACAAATATAAGTTTTTATATCTTTTAGGCTTTAGGGATGCAGGGCTAGCCGAATCCACCCACTATCATATTTTTGCATAATAAGTTAAGATTTTAAGTTCGCTTTATTCTATTTTTTTACAAATTTTTCCAGGATAGGATTAAACAGGACGGACATGTCCATTTGTCATCCTTATTCAAGACTTATATATTACCCATATATATTGTCATCATAATGATTTTTTAAAGATGATTTTTAGAAGTATTATTCTGTAAATCAGATTGAATACCGATTAAATTTTCATTTAATTTAATCTTGTAAAACCTCAAATGTATGTAGGAAATGAAGATGTCTTTTCTCCAATCTCGAATCAAAAGTATGTCAAGAAATTTGGACAATCTCCTATTTTCATTGCATCTACTCAATTGATTGATGGTGAGAAACTAAATCATGGCAAACTTGCTTCCCAAGTTACAGAAGCCATACATGTCATTAGTTGTGGCTATGAAGAGAAAACAGAATGGGGCAAAGAGGTAAATTATTTCTTCTCATTACTTATCTCTTCTAAAATCATCTTAAGATAAACAACTTAATCAAGTTTTTATGGCCTATCAAGCACAAACACCATAAACACGACATTGACAATAACACATCATCATCGATAATAATTTTAAAACATAAATAAAATAAATGTAATCACAAGTGTCTATGTTAATTTTGGACACTGACACGAACACATTTTTTTTATATATCGGTGCTGCAGAGTTTATAGTATAAGAGGGTTTATCGTATAAGTGTTTATGTATAAGTTATTTCATTATGAGTCAGGTTGGATGGATCTACGGTTCGGTTACCGAAGATATCTTAACCGGTTTCAAAATGCATTGTCACGGATGGAGATCAATATATTGTATACCTGAAAGGCCAGCATTCAAAGCATCTTCACCAACAAACCTTTCTAATGGTTTACAACAAGTTTTTCAATGGGCCCTTGGATCCATTGACATTTTCATGAGCAAACATTGCCCTATTTGGTATGGATATAAAGGAGGATTGAAATTCTTAGAGAGAATTTCTTACATCAATGCAATTGTATATCCATGGACATCAATACCTTTGGTGGCTTATTGTACTCTTCCTGCTGTTTGCTTGCTTACCGGAAAATTCATCATTCCTGAGGTATGAAGGTTTTTAATTGAATATTAGGTTTATATACATTTTCATACCTTAAAGCAAATTCTCGATTTTTGCAACAATCAATCTAATAACTAAGAGAATTATTGTTATATTTTGGTGGTTAGATTAATTCAACAGTCGCGGTTTAAATGAAGAGGGTGCAAAGATCGATCAAAGTGTTAAAAATTCAAAAACAATTGTATAAGTCATAAACTAAACTAAACTGAATCACTTCGTAAATAATTTAACTAGTTCTTAGTGTTTGGCTCTTTTCAAGATAGTCCAGTTTAATTATTCAATTTAATTTTTTTAATAAATATTTTTAATATTTAATTTGTTTCGGTTTTATAGTTTGTTTTTAACCCATCATTTATCAATAAATAATAATAATAATTTGGTATAATTTGGTCACAAAAAACCAAATTAATTTAAAAAAGCTAAATTAGGTTAGATTTGCAACCACATAATTGGTTCATTGAACCTTTGTATCGGTTTGACTAAGTTCAGTTTATCGAATTGTTGCAATGGCAGCTTAATAATAAATTTATCTATGCTTATCAATATTAATTTTTGTTGTAATGGCAGCTTAATAATACAGCTGGCATGTGGTTTATTGCACTATTCTTTTGCATTTTCACAACAAGTGTATTAGAAATGAGGTGGAGTGGAGTTACAATAGATGAATGGTGGAGAAATGAACAATTTTGGGTAATAGGAGGTGTATCAGCAAATCTATATGCTGTATTTATAGGCCTATTCAAACTCATAACAGGTGTAAATAGCAATTTCATTTCAACATCAAAATCAACAACAAGAAATGATGAAGACAAACAACATTATGATACAATGATGTTTGGTTTGAAGTGGACAACATTATTAATCATACCAACAACATTACTTATACTAAACATAATTGCTATGGTTGCTGGATTATCACATGCAATCAACAATGGTTTTGTGGCATGGGGTCCATTGTTTGGGAAACTATTGTTTTCATTTTGGGTTATTGTTCATTTGTATCCATTTCTTAAGGGGATGGTTGGAAGGAATAATAGGACTCCTACTATTGTTCTTGTTTGGTCAGTCTTGCTTGCAAGTTTTTTTTCTGTTTTGTGGGTGAAAATTGATCCTTTTTTGCCTAAGTCAAATGGTCCAATTTTAGAAGAATGTGGATTGGATTGTAATTAGATGCAAAATTTGGTTGTGTTTGTTGATATAGTAGTAGGATTAGATAACATTAGATCTTGTTTTGATTTGGGTTATAAGAGAGATTGTATAACTTATTTGTAATGATTTGTTTACTTGAATAACAATATTAAGTAAAACTCCAACTTCTAAACATAACAATTTGTTGATGCTAGTAAATTAACAAAAGTTGGAAAACAATTGTGTGATATAATAATACCATAAATTAATAAATTAATATAGAACATAAACAAATATTATGCTTTGTATAAATAATTAAAAATAAAAGATAGAGTGGAAAAATAAATATCTATAAATAAATAAAATTAGTAAAATATTGTGACTTTTACTTAAAAATGATAATGAGATTTATATTAAAAATAATGGAAAAATATAATTTTATTTATCTTTGATAACATGACTTTTTTTCAAAACGTTTGTTAATTTGTAGTATTATCATATTGTTTTCATTTTTTAATTTTTTAAATTTTTAAATTATTATATTATAAGATTTATAATAAATAAATTTAATAAAGATGTAATTAGAGAGAAATATTGTAATTATATAATATATAATTCTCTTCTTTTTGCCAATAATATACATCAAAGAGATTTATTGTAGTTGATATAATCCTAATAGTTTAGAAAGGTTTCATGTCCAATTCTTAAAATTTAACAAAATTTCAATTTTATAATTTTAATATTATTTAATTATTATAGATAATTAACATAATTAAAAAGATTAATAAAATCTTATTTAAATAGGAACATTAAAACCTTTGAAAAATAGAAATAGAAAGATCCAAATTAATTAAGCTAAAAAATAAACATGAAAAGATCAATTCGCCAGATCAAAAAACCTACCAGTTCACTGATCTGACCAAGAGAATCGACCGGATCACACCAATTCTCATCGGGTCAATTGCAACAATGATTCGATGACTTTACCAGACCATTTTACACTACAGTTCACAATATAACAAGAAAACAACTGGTCTGACCAAGGGAATATGTCAGATCACATCAATTTTCACTGGATCAATTACAACTATGGTTCGACGATTTTACCAGACCATTCTACCCGTCTAAGCAGAACACTTTCAAGTATTGTTTGAGATCGATAGAAACACCATTAGACTCCGGTCTAAAAATAAAGTTACTTATTTTCCAAACTTTCTCCTACTAAATCCTATATTTGTCCATTGAAAGGGAAAATATTTGAGAAGAATTAGCCTTTAAGGTGCAACACATGAATTTCCTCCTTCACTTCCTTAATCTTTCATTCTAAAGTGGAGGAAGTGGTGGCCCTCAGAAGTGAGGTCACTAGTCGTATGTGGTTGCAAATGAATATTAAATAAAATATGCTTCTTCAAAAGTCAAGATTGCAATGGGATTCAAAAGGGGGTATGAATAGTAAAAATTTTCATTGTGTCATGAAGTCTAGGCGTAGGTGTAATTTTATTGGGCATATTCAAACAGAAGAAGGGGTGGTGGAGTTGGTTGGGGATGTTAAGAAGGAGGTTAGAAGACATTTTGCTGAGAAATTTGTGGAAATTGATTTCATTCGTCCTATTCTTGAAGGGGTTCCTTTTAAGTGTCTTTCCCAGTCGAAGAGGGATTCTTTGGAAGCTTCATTTTTTGAATCAGAAATCAAAGATGTTGTTTGGATTTGTGATGGATCTAAGAGCCCGGGTCCGGACGGGTACAATTTCATCTTTATTAGAAAGTGTTCGGATTTTATGAAAGATAATTTTTGTCAGTTCTTCAATGATTTTCATGGTAATGGCATCCTCTCTAAGGCTATTTCGTCTTCTTTTCTTACTTTGATTCCCAAGAAGTCGACTCCTTGTAATCTTGATGAGTAAAGGTTCAGTTGCTTGGTTAGTTGTTGTTACAAAGCTCTCTCAAAGCTTTTGGCAGCTAGATTGAAGATGGTCTTGAACTCCTTAATCTCTAGTTGTCAAAGCGCTTTTGTGTCGGGAAGGTTTCTTTTAGATGGTGTTTTAATTGCGAACGAAGTGGTAGATTATGTGACGAAGTTTAATAAGGGTTGTCTTCTTTTCAAAGTTGATTTTTAAAAGGCTTATGACAAGGTGAGTTGGGATTGTTTTAGGTATTTGTCGAAGCGGGTGGGTTTCGATGAGTTATGGGTGATGAGGATGGAAGCTAATATTTTCTCGATTTAGATGTTGATTCTTGTGAATGGAAGTCCGACTAAAGATTTTAAGGTTGGTAGGGGGCTTAGACAAGATGATCTGCTTTCTTTGTTTCTCTGTTATTATTGTGGAGGGGCTGGAGGGTTTAGTGAGGCAAGTTGTTATGTGTAATGATTTCTCTAGTTTCTCAGTGGATGGAAAATGTGGCGTGGATGTTTTACAATTTACGGATGATACTCTCCTTGTGGGGAAAGGAAATTGGAAGCAGGTTTGGGCGCTTAAGGTGGTGTTTATAGGGTTTAAAGTAGTGTCGGGGCTTGGTGTTTATTTTCATAAAAGTAGGTTGATTGGGATTAATCTGTGTTCGTATTTTCTTTTGGCCGCAGAAAATTTTCTTTCTTGCAGGTTAGAAGATAAGTCATTTTTCTTTCTCGGGATTCCTATTGCCTCGAATCCGAGAAGGGTGTCGTGGTGGAATCCTCCAGTCTTGAAGATTAAGGATAGGCTAGTGGTTTGAAAAGTGAAGTTTCTTAACCTTGGTGGTAGGATCACTTTGATTAAATCAGTGCTTTCTAGTTTATCCATTTTTCAACTTTCCTTCTTCAAAACTCCTATTAAGATTTATAAGGAAATTGAAAAGATTCAGAATAATTTTCTTTGCGGTGGTAATATTGATAAGAAGAAGATTAATTGGATCCATTGGGAGTTTCTTTGTTTGCCTCTTGAGAAAGGTGGGTTAGTTTTTAAAAGCTTCAAAGAATTCAATGTGGTGTTGCTTTTCAAATGGAAATGGAAAATTTTGCAGGGGACTGAAGCGTTTTGGTCGGAAGTTTTGTATGCAAGGTATGGAAATTTAAAACATCATGTTCTGACTGGTTCTTGCTTAGTCGCGGACAGGACAAAATCTGTATGGTGGATTGACCTTCTTTTCTTCGAATCTAAGTTGTTGGCACCAGTTTTATTGCAAAATGGTTCTTTCATGTTAGGCAGCAGGGTGGGCATTTCATTTTGGAGCGTTGTCTGGTTCGGTAACAGGAATTTAATGGACATGTTCCTTGTTCTTTTCGAGAGGAGTGTGTCGAAGGATGTTGGGGTGAATAGTATGAGGAGGTGGCAAGAGAACAATTAGGTTTGGGGTTGTTTCGGTGTTTCTGTTTTATGGCAGGTTGTTGTTTTGAATGATTTAAGGGATTTACATGAGTTTTTGGCTAGTGTTAGTCCGAATAAAAGTTTTGTCGATGTTGTCGTTTGTAATTTTGATTTGGAGGCGGTTTATTCAACCAAGAGAGGTTATGATTCATTATCTGGTCTCATCGGCTGTCCCGATTTGGATCAAGGTACGCTTTCGGTTTTAGATTCGGTTTGGAAATCTATTATCCCTTTTAGAATCAAAGCCTTCGGGTGGAGATGTTTGTGGAATAGATCACCTTCTAGGGATCTTTTGTATCGTAGGAGCATTTCTCTATCTCATAATGAGCTTCTTTGTGTTTTTTGTTCCGAAGAGTTTGAATCGTTAAATCATATTCTGTTGGATTGCTCTTTCTCAAAGTTGGTCTAGAAAGATATCTTTGTTTGGTGCGGGTTTCATCTCAAATTGGGAGGAATCATTTGGAAAAATCTGAAAGTTTGGACTAATGAATGTAGGAAGTAAGGCGTGAAGAAAGGTAAAGATATTCTTTAGTGGTTGGCGGTGGTGTGGGGTATTTGGCGAATTAGGAATGATGTTATTTCTAATGGTGCTAAAGCTTTCCTATGGGATTTAGTTTAGGACATTAAAATGAAGGTTTGGAATGTTAGAACAAGATTAGTTCTGATCATATCTCAGAGTTTTGATGATAACAATAAATTATATTTTATATATTTGATACTCTGATGAACGTATTTAACTGTTTCAGATAATGTTCTGACAGAAGCATCTTGATGTGCTGAGCTGAAAATAAATGAAGAAGTTCCTTGATGAAAGAACTATTTGTTTTAAGCGCAAGTGCTGATGCTGATGTTGTCTCTGATAATGTTCTGACAGAAGCATCTTGAAGTGTTGAGCTGAATATAAATGAAGATGTTCTTTTGATGAAAGAACCATATGCTTTAACTCAAGTGCTGATGCTGACTCTGGTAATATAATTATTTAATTTTATCTTCTAACGCTTAGCAAGTTTCTGTGTAAGCTATGTTTCAGAAGTTCTTTGAAAGCAAGTGTTATTCAGGAGATATTTGAAAGCAAGTGTTGTTCATAAGATATTTGAAAGCAAGTGTTGTTCAGAAGATATTTGAAAGCAAGTGTTATTCAGAAGAAATTTGAAAGCAAGTGTTGTTCAGAAGATCTTAGAAAGCAAGTGATGTTCAGAAGATCTTAAAAAGCAAGTGTTGTTCAGAAGATATTTGAAAGCAAGCGCTGATCAGAAGTACTTAGCAAGCAAAGTATTGTTTAGAATATATGCAAGCATGTTCTGAATACAAGACCTGAAGCCAAGTTCTGAATTAATATATAAGCTAACAAGTATTGTCAAGCTTCAGGAGACATGTTCTTACATAGTGTCATTTGCTCATTTAATGCAAAGACGGCTACATGCACTCAAGTGTCTACGCTAGTGCATTGGAAAATGGAATAGTGCAAGGAAACACGTAAACATTTAATGCTCTCCATTTGAAGGCAGCAACGGTCATGTTTCTTCATGCTATATACAGAAGAACATTTATTGCAAGCCAACTAACGCTAAAATGCACAATTGCTGAAACGCTGAAAGATTGAACAACTGAAGTTCTGAATAGAACTGAACAAATTCAAAAAGAAGCAAGAACAACGTGAAAGACTCTGGGCTCACAAACAAATTTCATACAATTTGT